TAAAATAATTATTAAAAAATTTTTAGGCTATTTTCAGATGACATCACAGTGACAGCTCCGGAAAGTTATTATGGAGCGTCTTTAAATTGTCTTTAGTAACTTAAAAAAATACTTTAAAAAAAAATTTAGACTATTTTAAGATATGGACTAATAGCGACAGAGCCCCGGAACATTAAAACGGAACGTCTTAAAAAAGTATTAAAATTGTCAGATAATAATTTTTTAACAATTTTAAATTTAAATTTAAAAACATTTTACTCAAAAATATTGCGGTTAGAAAGTCGTAAAATCGTCTAAAAATTAATTTTCACAACAAATTCGAGAACAAAATTTTCAAAAATCTGCTCTCGGAATTTTTCTTTTGGCGTCTTAAAAGAGTCTTAAAATAGTCTTAGTTTGTGTCACGTTTAAGATCTTAAACGAACAATAATTTTAAGACAATTTTTTAAACAAGCCCTGTTTAAAAAAAATTAATTAAAAAAATTTACTATCATGAGATTTGAATTTTTTTCAATAATTTAAATTGATTTCAATTTCTCAGTATATATCTATAAATATATAATTTGCATAGAGTAAATTTTTTTAACTTTTTTCAATGAATATTTTTAAACCGAGAGATTCATAAATGCATTAAAAATTTAATTAAACAGTGTTGTTATTTATTTAATATTTAATTTAGTAATTAAATCTTGAGAATTCTTAACAGTAACAAAAAACCATAAAATAATTTCAAATGTATTTAATTTATTTATTTATGTATGAAATAATTATTTTTTAATAAACATAAATATAATCAATACTCAGCATTCAAAACAGTTTTTATTTAATAAGATTTTCATTTTTTATCATGGAACGACTCATGCGCATGCGCTAATACGGTTCCAGTAATAGAATTAAGTATGTAGGTTATGATTTTTTTTTAAGTATTGCAAATATTTATAAAAAAAAAAATCAAAAATGAATCATTTTTAAAAATTTTTAATGTCATTAAAATTTTAATGACATTAGATATCAATTACGGAACAATAGAATTATTAAATGTCGCTATAACCTTGAAGTTTGTCAAACGACATACTGCTAATGAGCTGAGATAAAAATTAACGACAAAATTACTGAATTCTTTTTTTAAAATTATCAGACATAAAAAAAATGTTAAGAAATAGTTTAAAAAAAATTCTATTATAAAATCGAGGAGATGGGGATCTTGAAGTTTTAGATATCAAGTTCATCAGAATCTAAAAACAATAAAAATTTTAGTCAGGTTAATAAATTTATTATTCTTCTATAATTTATTCATTAAAAATATACTTACTATAGTTCTAACAATAATAAAGAATATCCTTAACTAAACATGAGTTCTCACAGCATTCATCGTGAAGACCGACCCCATTGTTTCCAAAATCAGACAGCTCAATGTTGTTAATAGCAGGATTACTGCAAACTTGAATCAAGAAGTCAGCTAAATCTCTGCCGCACTTCTTTACAATATTAGACAATTTGTACGTATTTCCTTGAATTTCCATTGCTGAGATGATATTCAGCGTTATTCAAAAGAAGCCAGTTAAATTGTCCGATAATGTTAATGAAGAACTCCAAACAAGTAAGTCAGCAGAAAAACCTAGAAAGAATTCAAGGATATGAATAACTTCCACTTGTGCGACGGATAAATATCAAGTATGGCCTAAAAAACGCAAATTAGTTAAAAAACAGAAAGTTTAAATGTTCAAAATTACCAATATTTAATGTTATTTGCTGCTAAAGTTTCAATAAAAAAATTAATTTTAAATTTTTATTAAATTTTAACAATATAATTCGGAATTTCTTATTTTTAAAATAAAATTAATACTGACCGGAGCGACCTGCCTAATGACCGGGGTGACCCAACACGTTGGGTCGCCCCGGTCAAACTCATTATTTCTATAATTCCTCAAATATTTTTATTTATCTTCATACTTATATTTTTTAGTAATTGCATTTAGTTCTTCAGATGTCAAAGAATTGAATAAAGTCTTTTTTATTATTCCAAAATGATAATTTTAATATTTTTTTAAATTCACTTCTTAGGTGATCGGGGGGACCCCACACTCCCCTATAACAAAAAAACAACAATAACGGAAACTGAACATGTTTTTAAGTATAAAAACTTGTTTGTTTAAAGAATATGTGTTGAAAGTTTGTACGTTGGTGAATTTCTGATCAATTTTAATCGCTTACTGCGTGATATATTATACGCTTCAGATTGATTTTCAAGGAAGATCATAAAGACCAATGGAAGCAGAAAACCTGTATTCTTCTTTGATTTGATAGGTCTAAAATAATAGAGTGGGAACGGAACGTAACCTCTAAAAGTGTAATTTTTTTGTGCATCGACGGTAAAGTTACTTAAAAATATGGCGCGCTATAAAAGCGATTAAAAAGTAATTATTGGTTTAAAAAATAAGATAAGAATTAAAAGCAAAAAAAAAATACTCTTAATCGTTTTGTTTTTTGTCTTTTTGTGAATTTTATACTTATCAAATGATAGAGCTTATATTTTTACGTTGAATGGCACTATCAAAAAATTTATCAATATATATATTATTATATTAAATATGTAATTAATTTTAATTTAGATTAGCGAAAATCAAGTTCAAGCTTTCGTTACATACATGGGGTTATCCATAAATTACTTCACATTTTAAAGGAGGGGGGAGGGTATCACTAAAATGTGAGACTGTGTGACAAGGGGCAGGGGGGGGGGTCAAAAGCTTTGTGACGTCACATGTTAAAATTTGAAATACTCAAACGAAAAACTTATATGTGAATAAAAAACTTTAAATATTTACGAACTCAATCTAAATTTGATAATACTTTAGCACTCTCGTTATGAAATTATCTCTCACGAAACAACATCTAACTTCTAAAGCGGCGTTGTAATCCAATGAGTGAAATACTAAAATTCTCAAGAGTTCTGAATAGTAAGGGTCTGAGTAGGTTTAAATCATCGGTGAGTGCTCGCTCGGTTTTCTAAAAAATAAAAATAACTGTTTCTTTTTGATTATTTTTAAATACATGCATAAAATTGAAAAATGTCTGACGTCACATCAAGGGGGAGGAGTTAAAAATTCCTGAAATTCGTGATGTGACGTAATTTATGGATAACCCCCATGGATACAGGCGAAGCTAATAAAAATATATTAAATAAAAAACCGCAATCGATAAGAAAGTAATGAAATGTCCAGGTATCATTAATCACCAGCAGCAATTATTCTTCATACAACGCAAAAACGTTTCACTTATCGACCGCAATTTTAATCAGCAAACATGGAGCAAACGTTCTCCAGCAGAAATTATAATTCCAATTTTTCGTGGCAAAATCGCGCGTTAATTATCATTCAGTACATATTTTTCAAAACAATTGGTCTGTCACCCTGGGCACTGAATCTAGCCCAAATAGTGAAAAAGCGTAGAGGCAGAAATTTTTCCAATCAACCAATTACAATCACTAAATCTGTCTATGGGTCGTTGTACAATATTATATTGATATTATTTATAATAATTTACAATATTCTCTTTTTTCTACACGAATTTGCTAATAGCCAAAACGAACTCCAGTTAACAGTCACCGTAAAAATCAGTCTAAGAATCAGTGGTGCTATGACGACCATCGTTGTTTGGATTTCATACATCTTGCGGCAGAAATTAATCGTTCAAACAGTGAAAAAGTTTGCGAATGTTGACAGAATTCTGGCCAAGTGTTGTTACAAGACCAATCAACCGATTAATGACAACTATATTAAACTAGCTGTTCTAAGTCATTTTATCTTGTCGTTTGTTGGATTCATAGTCATGTTAAAAGTTTATCCGATAGCTGTAGTGCCATTCCGATATGTACCAGCTATAATTAATAGTTGGGTGATGACACAGTATTCATTAATTCTTAACATGATTATCAATCGGTTAAAGATTATCAACACAAGGATTTTAAAACTTGGGAATGTTGAAACTTCTATCAAGCCTCGAGTTGTACTTGCCGATAGATCTCCCTTGACTGATCCAAAATTAGTCGCATTTGATCTCAGACACATCAGCAATGCTCATTCCCAATTGTCTGAATTACCCAGTGAAGTATCTAATTTCTTCGGGTTTCCCATTTTACTCGTTATCTTTTACAGCGGGGTATCCGGGACAGTTTACTCGTACTTTGTAATTTTTTCCTTTTTTGAAAAATTTAAACAAGAAAATATTATTAATTATTTTAGTGTTGGTTTATGGTATTCTTACATGATCTTGAGTTTCATTTTGATGACTACAAATGTTACTAGAATAAAAGTTCAGGTACTGCAGAAATTCTACCTGTTTTCAAAACTTTATAGATTAATTTTTTTTAGAGCAAACAAACCGCTGACGCTATTCATCTAGTCTTGGATCGGTGTTTGATGGATCAGAAAATTGAAGATCAGGTAAATATGATCTTCTTTATATTAGCTAGTTGTACTCAAAAGGTTAATTATAATTATAAGTAAAGCTACTACACGAACCGTCTTGTCTGTTATACCTGCCTCCTTAATCCAACAGGTTATGGGCCCAGCACGCTTCCACCGGGCAACTCTGCTTTATTAATATTATATTTATACAGTAAACATTGAGGCTGGACGGCGACTTTTACTAATAATCTGAATTAATACTATTTTATTGTTTTCTAATTTTTAACTTTATTGAATTTATTGCAAAAGTTATTTGATCTGAACTAGCTATTAGTTATTTTATCGCTTTTAATTGTATTATATATGTACATACTACTTCACCGTTTCTTTTTCTTGTATATAGGATTACATCCTTTAAATGCAATAAATAAATATTTTTTTTATACACTAATTTATTAATATATTTTTACTTACTGTCATTTCTAGCTCTTAGAATTTTCAAGAGTTCTTTTGCATCAAAAAATGGAGTTCAATGCATGTGGGATTATTTCATTAGACAATTCTCTTCTATTTGCCGTAAGTATGATTAATTTTCCCTCAAATATTTTATTTTAAAAATTTACAAATTTACTTGCAAATATAAAAAAAATTTTACATCTTACGTATAATTTAAATTTCTTCCTCAGTAATTAAATTTTAATTCAATACGATCGGATAATCAATTCGAAAATTATTCCCACGCGATTCAATAGAGCAAATATATTTATTTGTTTTATTGCAGTAGTCAACATTAACTATATGGTGTATCTTTTCTTCAGCCTTATCAACACAAGCATTCAAATGATTACTTTTATTATGAAAATTATTTATCTGACTGTAGATAAAAAAATTGTTCCAATGATGAGTATGTTTCTGTACAGACATCAAAATATTTTTAACATAAGAACTCATTGTCCATCGGCCGCCATTTTTTCTATCTTCCCAATAGTACGCATTTATGCTATCAATCGCTACAAGGTCTATCTTCTCGCTGCTTATAATTATACCTAATGATTTTAAGGTTAGAAGATACTGAAAACTTGAATAACAATTGATAACAATTAGATTATTCAAAGAGCGCTTTGTAATACTATCAATTTTTCTTGAATCTAAATTTTCATTCTTGGACAAAATACTTTCTATAGTCTTCTCAAGTCTTGAAACCAGAAAACTTTGATTTGTGTTGAGAAGTAATACACGAACATTTATACCACCAATTTTCTGTCCCTCGTGTTCAACCGGCAAAATACACTTGGCAACCAACTGAGTTAGCAGCAGAGAATTCCAGTTTGATGAATTTCCTCTGATTTCAATCGTGTCATTATTGGAAACACCATCAGGAAATAAATCAGCATCCAAGTTTTGAAGCGTTGGCCGAGGTTGAATTCTTCCGAAAAATTCCAGTCCGGTTTCTATTTTCAATCTTTGTGCCATTCTAAAAAATGAAAAATATTTTTAAGATTATTTTTAATTTAAGGGGATCCACGCGAAGTAGTCAATTTTTTTAAACTTCTTGAAAATTTTTAAATTCAATCTACGTAGGTTGATTGAATTTCGTAGGTTGATTGAATTTGAATTCTATCTAAGTAGGTTTTCGGGATATTTAATGAAATAATTAGGTTTGAAAATTGTAATTTTTACATGTAGGTACCCTAGTAGCAATGGAATTGGGCAAGATACTTGGAGAAGCACTTTGTAAAGATTTGGACAATTCTCGACCAAGACACTTGATCAAGATTCTTTATCCAGACTGGCGGCAGACTTGGGACAGTCTGCGCCCAGAATTTGACCAGATTCTTGGCCCAGAGTCCTAACATAGACTTGCGCGAGAAATGCAAAAAACGACGAGGGCGCACCTATTTCCCTTCTTTCCACTTAAATGTGAAAAGTATAGTATTGCAGTGGTTTTCATTTGTAGTCTAATCAACAAGTTTAAAAAATTTATTTAGCTTGCTACGATATGTAAAAAGTTGAATTATCGCACGAAGTAGTAAAATATTTTTTAATAGAACGAGAACCTTTATTCTATAGGATAGTTCCAAATTTTAGCAATAGATGGCTCCAGATTTCTGGTCAAATTCTGACTAAAGTCTGGCTCAAATCTTGAACAATAATCTTGGTCAAGAATCTGGACCAATTCTTATACAATTCTTGATCTAAAATCTTGATCCATGCTGGCACAAGGCTTTTACCAAATTGTTACTAAGGTAAATGGAGATTCCACCGTTAAGATTTTATTGCAATTAACGATTTAAAAAAAATTTTATTTTCATTGAATTTGATTGAAAAAATAATAAGCTTTCGATTAAAACAGTAAAAAAGTATGTTTCCGAATGTATTACGGAGATATTTTATATTTTTTATGAAAAATCACAAGGAACTTCCGTTATTTATAAAGTATTGTATTTGACTTGGCAACACCGCTTGCGCAGTTACCCGGCGCATAAGTAAGCGCGGTTTTTAAATGCTAGAAGATCGTAGTCATTTTAATTAGACAGTAAACATAAATAAATTTTAAGGTTAGGGACACTCTTGCGGTGTTGTCAAGTGTATACCGGTAATTCAGAGTGCTATATTTTTTATTAGTAAATTAAATGTTAATAATTATTTAATGAGTAAATTTTTCGGAAATTTCTTTTAAAATGTTACAAATTAATTTTAAGATGCCTAACAAAAGTATTTCTACGTATTACTTTTTTATAGATATTCTTTACACTAGAAGAGTACTTGGATCTCCTTAAATACTAATTATTTTTTTTCTATTTCAGGTTTCTGGTACGATAGTAACGTATCTCATTATCCTAATCCAGTTTCGTATAACCAATCAACTTTAATAATTAAATATAAAGAGCATATATCACTTACCTGAAAGTATAACTTTTACGGAGGTGAATGAAAATGGCCGTTGCGTCTAGTGTCCACCATTAATAAAAAGTAACAACTAGCGCCACCTTGACAAGTCAATCTACAAGCTACCAACGGCGGATAAAAAAATATTCAAAGTGCAACAATATAACGCGAGAAGCATATACACAATGATAAAAATATACACATTTGTTTGTGTGTGTGTGTGTGAAGCCTCTCAGTGAGACAGTATACGACTGCAGTCGGATCATTAGTAGTCCGGCGAATTTATAATATTAAGTAAATCTTGTCTAGTTTATTATTTACTTGGTCTTGGTGGTTTAAATAAACAAAAAATTATTTTTTGTTAAACAGTAAATTGTTATTTTGTAATAATGGATCCCGAGGCATTTTTAGACCTGGCCAATCAGGTCATTAAATTAAAAATGTTTCCGTATTTCGATATCGCACATAGTGTATTGTGTGCGCTGCACGTCAGAGAGGATTTAGGACCCGGTAAGTTCATGCCTACCCGAATAGCTAATTCTATATTTAAAACTTCCCAGATTATATCTTTTATTTTATTGCTTACACTATACTCTATACTTATCTATTATTTTATTTTTATAAATTTATATTTTTTTTTTTATTTTCACTTTTTTACTTTTTTCTACCCTAGAAGCTTTTGCGTCATTAATTTGATTAATAATAAACAAATTTGTTATCAGACAGTCAATTGTTTATTGATTTTTAATTACATTCATTGGATTGAAAAAAAAACACAAGATAGTTTTTTTTTTTACTATTACAATAATTGTAATTGTTAATTAAATAATTAACTGTTTAAAAAAAATTTTTGGATTTATGTTTAGGTAAAATTTTAATATTTATGTAACTATTAAATATTTGGCGAGCGCTCTTTTCTATTTTTGTAATTTTATCCTTGATATTTATATTTTAAATTGTGAAAATTTTTATTTTACGGATATTATGTAAATTATTTTTTATTTATGTAAATTATCATTTTTAAGACTTTGATAAGTTTTTATATTTTAAGATAAAGAAAAAATTTTTTTTTTATGTTAAAAAAAATTTTTTAACTCATTTATTTTAGGTCTAAATTTTAGTCCCTAAAAATAGAATTCAAGTTTAAATTTTTTCAACAAGACTAAAATTTTTGAGAAAGTTTACACTCTAGCTTTTTACAGATTGAAGAGTTCCAAGCGCTCTTTCTGTTGAATTATTATTAGAGTCAATTATACAAAAATATAGCTCAAGTTATCAAATATCAAAATAATATTTTAAAACTTTAAAATACTTATGATTTTCATATTTTTTATAAAAAAAAATTCATAATGAGTCTAAAAATAAATATACTTTTTGAAATCAATAATTATTTATTATGACATTAAAATTAGCAGTCACTTCACAATTTTTAAATTTTATTTAACAAAAAAATTTCATCCAAAAAATTAATAAAAAAAAAATTATATTTTTAATTTTTTATAATTTTTACAAGCCAATATTTTTTTAATAATTTTTTTTGCACTAATTTATTTTATAAAAAAATTCTAAAAATTATTAAATATCTGCTACTTTAATTTCTATATATTTATTTATATAAAATAATTATTTCTGTTTGACTAAAAAATAGGTGCTCAAGCATTCTCACGGAAACACCCAATATCATGTTGGCTGTCAACAATGCTGGTGGTATTTGCCGGTGGTATGTTGTGCAATGGATTGATAGGTGAACCAATACTTGCACCCTTAAAAAATACACCCCAAGTAATTGTCGCAACAGTGGTATGGTATGTGATATTTTATACGCCTTTTGACATTGGGTATAAAGTTGCTAAATTTTTACCAGTCAAGATTTTATTTTCTGCGATGAAAGAAATTTACAGGTAAGATTTTTCATTTCAAAAATTATTATTATTATTTTCTAAAAATTTTTAATTAATAACAATAATAAAGTTATTTAAATTATTATTACTAGCAACCTTGCAGTCACCATGTGAACTATAAATGAATAAAATTTTGCTTTATTATAATAATAAATAATGACTTTTGTTAAATTGCACTGTACTTTCTTAGCTACTGACATTTTTGAAGATATAAGCTCATCCCGATGTTACACTTATCAAGAGCTTTCATTTGAGTACCCACATGCATTTTGGTATATTTTTCATATATACATATATATAAAATATATAAATATATGAAAAATTGATGTGGGTACTCAAATGAAAGGTCTTGATGAGTATGATGTCGGAGTGAGCTTATATCTTAAAAAATATCAATAGTTAACAAGATACAAGGTAGTTTCTAAATTATGTTAAATTGCACTGTACTTTCTTAAATATTGACGTTTTTAAAGATATAAGCTCATC